CTGCCCCCTCCGGTCCAGCCTTCCGGACCCCCATCATACCAGTGAGGGTACTATACAACAACCATCCCCGCAAAGCTAGAATGGTCGGGAGCACCCCCACTGGACACTGATAAGAACAGATACTACACTTGATCTTAGCCAAAAGGCCGAGAAGCGATCAATCACATGACCAATGTGGCAGCCAATCACAGTGACCACATGGCGAAGAGCCCATTCTGCCAGCTCTTGGTCATGTGAACAGTGTGGAAGCCAATCACAGTGACCGCATGATGGGGAGCCCCTACTACCAGCCCTCGGTCACATGACCAATGTGACAGCCAATCACAGTGACCACATGATCAGGAGCCCATACTACCAGCTCTTGGTCATGTGAACAGTGTGGCAGCCAATCACAGTGGCCGCATGACGAGGAGCCCCTACTACTAGCTCCAGATTGTTACCAGTTGTGGGAGATGCTGAAGCTGTGTCATATGAAGACCGATGTAAATGTTCGGGCAGTCCCCTGCACTACAACAGATGGTAGATCTAAAGTGGAACATACACCTTGCAATCTAATTGTACAACCTGTTACAGATTTACCACCAACTAGGTAGTACAGGGGATTCCCCATCTTGACCCCATCGAGCAGGTTATTGACAGAGGTCCTCATATTACATGGTTTCAGAAATCAAAATGAGATCATAGTACAGAGATTGTCCAATCCCATTGTAACGTGTGTGGCCAGCTTGAAGGAGACTCTGCAGTCAGTCTGTTGCAATGGGAATGTAAATGGAGCGCTCCATTCAATCCGATGTTCCGGCCCATTTCCCTATAGAGAACGTTTTCTTCCTTCACACCAAACAAGCAATATCGATCGTCCGGAATATTGTACCTGGTGATGGATGGGCGGGGCTTCCGCTGACATGGTGACCGTGCCACAAGAGGAAAACGAGGAAGATCTAAGAGAGTAACAGGGAGGGTTAAAGAGGACCTGTCATCGGTGTATCAACCAATAGATGATCAATGACATAAACATCGCGAGTAGATACAATCGGTCACATGACCAAGAGCTGGGAGCAGCGGCTCCTGATCATGTGGTCACTGGATTCTTTCTTGGATACACAGAATATAACTGGATATAACATTTATAGGGAACGTTGATCCAGGGAATATCTGATTGCCTCTCGGGGGATCAGGAAGGAATTGTTTCCCTGCAGGAGAAAATTGGATCGTGATTTGCTGGGTATTCTGCCTTCCTCTGGATCAACTGTGGGTGTAGGATTATAACTTTTTTTTTTTTTTTTTTAATGGTTGAAGTGGATGGACTTTTGTATTTTTTTAGCCAGACTAACTATGTAATTATAGAAAAAAACCCCACCACCATCTCCTAGATCAGTGGTTCTCAACCTTTCTAATGCCGCGACCCCTTAATACAGTTCCTCATGTTGTGGTGACCCCCAACCATAAAATTATTTTCGTTGCTACTTCATAACTGTAATTTTGCAGTGGGGGGAATAGTGCCATATTATTGGTGTCAGTGGAAGGACTAGTGCCACATCATTGGTGTCAGTGGGAGGAATAGTGCCTCATCATTGGTGTCAGTGGAAGGACTAGTGCCACATCATTGGTGTCAGTGGGAGGAATAGTGCCTCTCATCATTGGTGTCAGTGGGGGGAATAGTGCCCCATCATTGGTGTCAGTGGCAGGAATAGTGCCACATCATTGGTGTCAGTGGGAGGAATAGTGCCACATCATTGGTGTCAGTGGGAGGACTAGTGCCACATCATTGGTGTCAGTGGGAGGACTAGTGCCACATCATTGGTGTCAGTGGGAGGACTAGTGCCACATCATTGGTGTCAGTGGGAGGACTAGTGCCACATCATTGGTGTCAGTGGAAGGAGTAGTGCCACATCATTGGTGTCAGTGGGATGAATAGTGCCCCATCATTGGTGTCAGTGGGAGGAATAGTGCCCCATCATTGGTGTCAGTGGGAGGAATAGTGCCCCATCACTGATGTCAGTGGGGATGAATAGTGCCCCATCGTTGGGGTCAGTGGAAGGAGTAGTGCCCCATCACTGATGTCAGTGGGATGAATAGTGCCCCATCGTTGGTGTCAGTGGGAGGAATAGTGCCCCATCATTGGTATCAGTGGGAGGAATAGTGCCCCATCATTGGTGTCAGTGGGAGGAATAGTGCCCCATCATTGGTATCAGTGGAAGGAGTAGTGCCCCATCATTGGTGTCAGTGGCAGGAATAGTGCCCCATCATTGGTGTCAGTGGGAGGACTAGTGCCACATCATTGGTGTCAGTGGGATGAATAGTGCCCCATCATTGGTGTCAGTGGGAGGAATAGTGCCCCATCATTGGTGTCAGTGGGAGGAATAGTGCCACATCATTGGTGTCAGTGGAAGGAGTAGTGCCCCATCACTGATGTCAGTGGGATGAATAGTGCCCCATCGTTGGTGTCAGTGGAAGGAGTAGTGCCCCATCACTGATGTCAGTGGGATGAATAGTGCCCCATCGTTGGTGTCAGTGGGAGGAATAGTGCCCCATCTTGGTGTCAGTGGGAGGAATAGTGCCCCATCTTGGTGTCAGTGGGAGGAATAGTGCCCCATCTTGGTGTCAGTGGGAGGAATAGTGCCCCATCGTTGGTGTCAGTGGGAGGAATAGTGTCCCATCGTTGGTGTCAGTGGGAGGAATAGTGCCCCATCGTTGGTGTCAGTGGGAGGAATAGTGCCCCATCGTTGGTGTCAGTGGGAGGAATAGTGCCCCATCGTTGGTGTCATTGGGGGGAATAGTGCCCCATCGTTGGTGTCAGTGGGGGGAATAGTGCCCCATCGTTGGTGTCAGTGGGAGGAATAGAGCCCCATCGTTGTGGGTGTCAGTGGGAGGAATAGTGCCCCATCGTTGGTGTCAGTGGGAGGAATAGTGCCCCATCGTTGATGTCAGTGGGGGGAATAGTGCCCCATCATTGGTGTCAGTGGGGGGGGGAAATAGTGTCCCATCGTTGGTGTCGTGGGGGGAGGAATAGTGCCACATCCTTGGTGTCAGTGGGGGGAGGAATAGTGCCCCATCGTTGGTGTCAGTGGGGGGGAGGAATTTTGCCCCATCGTTGGTGTCAGTGGGGGGAGGAATAGTGTCCCATCGTTGGTTTCAGTGGGGGGAGGAATAGTGCCCCATCGTTGGTGTCAGTGTGGGGAGGAATAGTGCCCCATCATTGGTGTCAGTGGGGGGAGGAATAGTGCCCCATCGTTGGTGTCAGTGGGGGGAGGAATAGTGCCCCATCGTTGGTGTCAGTGGGGGGAGGAATAGTGCCCCATCGTTGGTATTAGTGACACAAATGATGGGGCACTATTCCTCCCACTGACACCAATGATACTTACCTTGCTGACCCCTGCTCCAGCCTGGGCTCGCTCTCTCACTTACCTGTCAGCTGTCTTCCTTCTCTGGCCGCTCTCCTCTTCACTTACTCCGGCAGCTCCCTCGATCTTCTTTGATCTACGCGCGCTGCCGCTCGGCTCCTCCTCTCCAAGCTCCACCTCCTCGCCGGTGATTGGCCGCCTGTGTGTCTCTCCTGAGCTACAGTTCCGGTGGCCAATCAGCGGTGAGGAGGCGGAGCTGTTGAGTGATCCCGGAGGTGTGGCCAGGTGACAGGGGCAGCGTATCATCCCGCCCACACATCGCCTGAGTCAGAGGAGCGGAGTCTCGGTTCCTAAGACCATCGGAAATATGTTCACGCTCCATGTGTTTCAGTTGCTTTTTTTTCTGCATCCATAACACACAGAAAGTCAGTGATATTTATTTATTTCACCCATTAGTGCTGCCTATCCATGCCAACTCCTCAGTGCCAATCAGTGCTGCCTATCCATGCCAACTCCTCAGTGCCAATCATCAGTGCTGCCTATCCAAGGCCACCTCATCAGTGCCCATCAGAGCTGCCTATCCATGCCACCTCATCATGCCACAGAGCTGCCTATCAGTCAGTGCCCATCAGAGCTGCCTATCCAATGCCACCTCATCAGTGCCCATCAGAGCTGCCTATCCAATGCCAACTCATCAGTGCCCATCAGTGCTGCCTATCTATGCCACCTCATCAGTGCCCATCAGTGCTGCCTATCCAATGCCACCTCATCAGTGCCCATCAGAGCTGCCTATCCAATGCCACCTCATCAGTGCCCATCAGAGCTGCCTATCCAATGCCACCTCATCAGTGCCCATCAGAGCTGCCTATCCAATGCCACCTCATCAGTGCCCATCAGAGCTGCCTATCCAATGCCACCTCATCAGTGCCCATCAGAGCTGCCTATCCAATGCCACCTCATCAGTGCCCATCAGAGCTGCCTATCCAATGCCACCTCATCAGTGCCCATCAGAGCTGCCTATCCAATGCCACCTCATTAGTGCCCATCAGAGCTGCCTATCCAATGCCAACTCATCAGTGCCCATCAGTGCTGCCTATCTATGCCACCTCATCAGTGCTCTCATCAGTGCTGCCTATCTATGCCACCTCATCAGTGCCCATCAGTGCTGCCTCATTAACGTACATCAGTGAAGAAGAAAAATGACCTGTTTAAAGGCATAGTACTGTGCAGGGACATGATTAAAAATGAATTTGTAAATGCACTGAAAACCAATTAATCTGTTCGTATTGCAAAAAAAAACAAGTAACCCGAAGCGTTATTGTCAATGGATTTTAATTCGTAAACCGAAAATTAGGTAAACCGAGGCGTTGGTAATCCGAGGTACGCCTGTATAAAGGCTTTCACCCAGGATATATGCAACTTTCAGTCAGGTGTGATCAGTTGAATCCAGTTAGAAAAAAATGTGTGAATGTGGGGTGAAAGTTGTACAAGGCCCCTTTCACACGGATGTACCGATCAGGTCCAAATACCCGTTTTTCAGGTGGACCCGATCGGAACCCTCCATTCTCCTCTATGGAGCGGCGCAGGGGTGGACTGACAACTCATGGTGTCCCTGGGCAATAGGGGATCATGGGGCCCCTGCAGGGGCGGACTGACAACTCATGGGGCCCCCGGGCAATAGGGGATCATGGGGCCCCTGTGTCCCTGCCCAAACTCAAAAAAGCCTATGAAAAAGGTACCAGGGGCATCTCATGGGGCCCCCTACTGACCCCGGGCCCTCGGGCAGTGCCTGAGTTTCCAAATAGTCAGTCCGCCCCTGGAGCGGCAGGTGTACACCCGCTCACATCCAATCCGACTAGACCCGCAAAAAAGAGACGGATGGGGTTCCAATTCCCCTTCCATCCGTCGGATTCCGTCAGATGGAAAGGGACAGGCGGCCTGTATTCATCCAACCGTTCATAGAGGAGAGTGAGCTGCTCTGTGTCCGCTCTGCAGCAGTGGAGAGGACACGGACCTGTCATCCACTTGCTCGGTCGGGATCAGAGGCGAGATTCTCCACCGCTGAGCAAGTGAAAGGACACTAAATCTTGGGTAAAAACATGAACAGAGACACTATCGTTAACTACCATTTGTTTTTGCAGATTTGTCTCATGAAAGGATTGTCTTTATGACACTAAAATTATATTCCCGGCAAAAAGTTATTTACAAATGAAACAAAAGCTTTTCTAGGCACATAAATGGCCGTTGGCTCCTGCTGCTGTCAATCACAAGCAACGAACTGAGAGCAGGAGGCTGGGCTAAGTTGTGCTTTGTGTGTCAATGGACACAATCCCGTACGAGTGCCCCCATAGCGAGCTGCTATAGGGGGGAGCCAGGACCACTGGTGGGGAAACCCAGAAGAGGAGGATTGAGGCTGCTGTATTCAGCAAAACCGTTGAACAGAACAGGTAAGTATGACATGCAGGGCTACTGTTAAAAACCACAGGGCCCTATACAGACAACCTGACAGGCCCCCCCCCCCCCCCCCCCCCAGGGGCAGACTGACCATTGGAGCACTCGGGCACTGCCTGAGGGTCCAGAGTCAGTAGGGGGCCCCATGATATGCCCCTAGTACCTTTCATAGGCTTTTTTGGGTGTGGTTTGAGTGTGGGCGAGGACACAGGGGCCCTATGATCCCCTATTGCCTGGGGGCACCATGAGTTCTCAGTCTGCCCCCCCCCACCCAAACCCCCCCACATTTTACTATGCTTCAGTTATGAATAAACACAGTGATTGGTACTGATCACTCATTGTGTTTATTCAGGAAAGGAAGAGGCTGGTAAATGGGGGACATATTTACCGGACCCTTCCCCCACTCTCCATTCTGAAGGATCCTATTGTATGCTGGCAGCTGCCAGTGAGAAAGAGAGGATGGAAGCCGGCAGCACTACGGGGTGGGGGCACACAGGGGGTCTGGGCAGAAGGGGTAAACCTATGGTGCACAGGGAGGTTGATGAATACAGCGGGGGCTTAATTTCTGGCACTGATCCCCTGTACGACTCGCTCTGCCGCAGCTGAAAGCCATAGGGAGGGAGAGGAGAAGACAGATTCAGCTGCTGCAGGGAGGGCCATACAGGGGATCGGTTCCAATAATTGCCTCCCCACCATGCTGATCATCCTCCCTGCCCACATGTGATTGATCTGTCCTGGGCCCCGTACAGGAGGGCTGGCGGCACCCCCTTATCCACGGCCCTGATGACATGTATGTTATTTTAAAAATATATATATGTTTCCAATCAGTGTAAGGTCCCAGGCACATATCAGGGGAGGACGGTGCTCTGACTTACCTTCATGCTGCTCTGCTTGTCTCTTCTCCACTTATTGGCTGATCTTGAGCACCATCCGGTGTCTATATATATAGGGAGCAGGCGGCACATTGGGGGAAGGGGGAGGAACTGGAGAAGTTTGGGGAAATCCAGATCGGGACCGTGAGATCTGAACATACTGGGAAGTCTTACAGATATCTCTTTGATACAAAACTTCTTTACAAAAAAAAAAACACAAGTCAAGTCTTACAGATACTTTTCTATCACTTCCATTCTGAAAGGGAGGATCAGGAGGATCCTGGGCTGTAGTGGAGTGAAGCCCAGGACACAGAACATCAAACGAGAAATCCCGCTTTCTAATCGCTAGTACACGGCTTTCATCCGAATTCATTCGAAGGGACAAGCACAAAATGTGTTCTCATACAATACCAGATCCAGGGGCGGACTGACCATTTAGGCACTCGGGCACTGCCCGAGGGCCCGGGGTCAGTAGGGGGCCCCATGAGATGCCCCTAGTACCTTTCATAGGCTTTTTTGGGTGTGGTTTGAGTGTGGACGAGGACACAGGGGCCCAATGATTTACTATTGCCCAGGGGCCCCATGTGTTGTCGGTCCGCTCCTGACCAGATCGTACGATTATCGGACAGTTTTCCTCTGAAAATAAAATACAAATGCGTCACATCACTTCCGAATTTTTATTCTGTCGTACGAGAATTTTTGTAATTTTAGTAACCTTCATTTTCCATATGAGACCAGCATACAAACAAAAAACAAAACGAACGATCATTTGTCCAGTATTGTCATCGTGTGTCCACACCGCAGAAGGATAATACAGCAGTGACAGAGGAAGAAATTCCACAGCGATATCAGCTATAGTCCAGGTTACTCTCTGTGTATTATAGAATATAAAATGCAAATCCTTCAGGGATGGTAGGAAGCCCTTATAATGGGCACAGCGGGCGTACAGACATGGGAACTCAGCTCAGGGATGGTGGGAACCCCTCATAATGGACATGGGAACTCAGCAGGGATGGTGTGGGCACACAAGGTGGGCAGACCCAGGAACTTGGCACAGGGAGGGTAGGAACCCCTCATAATGGGCACAGCGGGTGTACAGACCCGGGAACTCAGCACAGGGACGGTGGGAACCCCTCATATGGGCACAGTGGGGGTACAAACCCTGGTAACTCAGCACAGGGACGGTGGGTATTTGTATACAAACCCGGTAACTCAGCCAGGGATGGTTATAATGGGCACAGCTGGTGTACAGACCCAGGAACTCAGCACAAAGATGGTGATAACCCCTCATAATGGGCACAGCTGGTGTACAGACCCAGGAACTCAGCACAGTGATGGTGGGAACCCCTCATAATGGGCACAGCGGGTGTACAAACCTGGGAACTTGGCACAGGGATGGTGGGAACCCCTCATATTGGGCACAGTAGGTGTACAGACCTAGGAACTCATCACAGGGATGGTGGGAACCCCTCATAATGGGCACAGTGGGTGGACAGACCCAGGAACTCAGCACAGGGATGGTGGGAGCCCCTTATATTGGACATAGTGGGTGTACAGACCCGAGAACTCAGCACAGGGATGGTGGGAGCCTCTTATAAGACACAGTGGGTGTACAGACCCGGGAACTCAGCACAGAGTTGGTGGGAACATCTCATAATGATTACAGTCAGGGGTGGACTGACAACTCATGGGGCCCCCAGGCAATAGGTGATCATGGGGCCAATGTGTCCTTGTCCAAACTCAAAAAAGACTATGAAAAAGGTACCAGGGGCATCTCATGGGGCGCCCTACCGACCCCGGGCCCTCGGGCAGTGCCCGAGTTTCCAAATTGTCAGTCCGCCCCTGGTTACAGTGGATGTGTTGACCCAGAAGCTAAGCACAGGCATGGTGGGAACCCCTCATAATGGGCACAGCGGGTGTACAGACCCGGGAACTCAGCACAGGGATGGTGGGAACCCCTCATAATGGGCACAGTGGATGTGTTGACCCAGAAGCTAAGCACAGGAATGGTGGGAACCACACATGAACGCTTCAAGATGATTTGCATTTCCAAAGACTTGTCTAGGAATGCAAAACCCATCTGAAACAATCAGAAGCCCCTCCACCTAGGTCCTTACACCGGCACTTTGAAGTATATATCTGATGTTGTGTCCACTTGAACCATTTGAGGATTTCTTGGATGCAGCCATCACGTCCAGCCTAAGTGAAGACAAAGTTACTGGTGAAGTTCCGTATGGAAATGTCAGACTTGCTGTGGCCCATAGGGGGCGTACAGGTGTGAGGTCTGAATATTACTGTGTTGTGGAGCAGACTGGAACATTTCATGTATACTTTGAGGTCGTTGTTCTGGAGTGTCCACCACTGGAGGTGACCTCACAGGAAGATATTGTGGTTTTGGCTTCTTTGGCTGTAAGTCCTGAATGTGTTCAGAGAAGACAACGTATGCATTCCTGGTATAGGAACTTCTCATGGTGTGTCACCGCAGGCACCTTCCTCTTCCATTGTTCTCACATTTTACCCCAAGCCATCTAAGGATCTTTGTTTTCAGAAGGAAAGTCCCAACTTATTGTGGAACTTTAGGAAACAATAAAATAACAGACAAGATTCAGTCTGTCCGCAGATTGAAGACGTCCACTTTTGTTTTTCGGAGCCCTCCAGTTTTAGTACAATTGATCCTACCAGTAGATTGGTTATTTTACCATTAACTACCTATTAGCAGGGGCGGACTGATGATCTGGAAACTCGGGCACTGCCCGAGGGCCCGGGGTCAGTAGGGGGCCCCATGAGATGCCCCTGGTACCTTTTTCATAGGCTTTTTTGAGTTTGGGCAAGGACACAGGGGCCCCATGATCCCCTATTGACTGACCATTTGGGAACTAGGGCACTGCTCGAGGGCCCGGGGTCAGTAGGGGGCCCCATGAGATGCCCCTGGTACCTTTTTCATAGGATTTTTTGAGTTTGGGCAAGGACACAGGGGCCCCATGATCCCCTATTGACTGACCATTTGGGAACTAGGGCACTGCCCGAGGGCCCGGGGTCAGTAGGGGGCCCCATGAGATGCCCCTGGTACCTTTTTCATAGGCTTTTTTGAGTTTTGGCAAGGAGACAGGGGCCCCATGATCCCCTATTGCCCGGGAACTAGGGCCCCATGAGTTGTCAGTCCGCCCCTGCCTATTAGGTTCCTGCACAGTCAGGCATGAGAACGTTAGTAAATAGTGCCCCCCATGAGCTTTGTCTTGTTGTTTCATTAGGGGTTAACACCTTGGATGGGGTCTAGGGGTATATGGAACGCCCAAAGAAACTGAAACAACTTGGAGGACAAACTTCCTGTACAAAAAGCAGAAAATGTCGTTCCTGGACCAGGGGCGGAATGACAACTCATGGGGCCCGCCGGCAATAGGGAATCATGGGGCCCCCGTGTTCTCGCCCACACCCAAAAAAGCCTCTGAAGAAAACAATGAAAGGTACCAGGGCATCTCATGGGGCCCCTTACTGACCCTGGGCTCTCGGGCAGTGCCTGAGTGCTCGAATGGTCAGTCTGCCCCTGTCCTGGACTTTCTACTCCCTTCGGAGTGGCTCTTGTCTCTTAACAGATCCGCACACAGTCCTTACTAGGAGCACTCAGTCCCCTTAACCCCTTCACACCTGAGGGTAAAACAAATCTTAATGCCTAAGCACAATTTTTCAACGTTAACCGTGTTAGTAAATCTGTACATATCATCACATCTACTTTGTACATCCAGGTGAATTATACCGCGTTTTTTTTCAGGACAAATTGAGCTTTCATTTGGTGGTGAATAGTAACGGATATCTCCTGAATTTTTTTTTATTAACAAAGGAAAACTGGCCCAAAATAGTAAAAAAAAAAATTTTTTTTTTAAAATTTATCTGTGTTTCTTGTTACTACCATAACCTACCACCAAAAATCAACCCAAAATAAATTCTTCAGCTCCTGAGGATCGCAGCGATACCATCTATGTGTGTAATTTTTGCCCCTCGGCGTTTATATTGAAGGAAAGCTGTTTTGCGATTATTTGGTGAGTTGAAACCCTGGACATTATGTGAAATACGCTGGATTACCATGGCAACCAAGAATCATATCTATCAGCATTATAGTATACAGTGGAAAGGTATCCCATATATTTGTTGTTTGTACCCCTAGTACAGCCCAGAAACAATAGAGCACATTTTGTGTTGTTTTTTTTACTTAAAACACACTGACACTAACTGACATTGATACCAATTTAAAAAAAAAAATCCTGACCTTTTGACCTTGACCTTTGACTCTTACCCAAACACTAACCCTGGCACTGAACTAGATCAAACCTTGATCTAAGTATTTTTTCTTTTTTAATATTTATTCTTTTAAAATGTATTCATTTTTAAAAAAATTTTTTTTTACAAACATTTTTTTTCTCTCTATGCCAGGAGTTAGAGAGATACAATGTATAATAGAATGTATATAATGATACAACGTATAATAGGATGTATATAATGATACAACGTATAATAGGATGTATATAATGATACAATGTATAATGGAATGTATATAATGATACAATGTATAATGAAATGTATATAATGATACAATGTATAATAGGATGTATATAATGATACAATGTATAATAGAATGTATATAATGATACAACGTATAATGAGATGTATATAATGATACAATGTATAATAGGATGTATATAATGATACAATGTATAATGGGATGTATATAATGATACAATGTATAATGGGATGTATATAATGATACAATGTATAATAGGATGTATATAATGATACAATGTATAATAGGATGTATATAAGGATACAATGTATAGTAGGATGTATATAAGGATGCAATGTATAATAGGATGTGTATATAGTGATACAATGTAAAATATAATGTATATAATGATACAATGTATAATGGAATGTATATAATGATACAATGTATAATGTAATGTATATAATGATACATTGTATAATGGAATGTATATAATGATACAATGTATAATGGAATGTATATAATGATACAATGTATCATGGAATGTATATAATGATACAATGTATCATGGAGTGTATATAATGATACAATGTATCATGGAGTGTATATAATGATACAATGTATCATGGAGTGTATATAATGATACAATGTATAATATGTGTCATGGATGTGTATGTATAATAGGATACAATGTATAATAGGATGTATATAATGATACAATGTATAATAGGATGTATATAATGATACAATGTATAATAGGATGTATGTAATGATACAATGTATAATAGGATGTATAATATAATGATACAATGTATATAATATGATGGAATATAAGGATACAATGTATAATGGAATGTATATAATGATACAATGTATAATAGGGATGTATGTAATGATACAATGTATAATGGGATGTATATAATCAATCAGAGGCTATCACAGCGATTGTATGACCCAGAATTGGGAGTCCCGGGTCCCGATCGTTAGAACGGGACCCGGTGCACTCAGTGACAACGCGGTCTTTGTGCTGGGAGCGGGCCATGTGGCACGCTCCCAGCAGAGAGGTGCGCAAATATGCGGCCCCATGGAAAAAAGGCCAGCTCTGTGAGGCTGCATACTTGTGTGACATCAGGGTCAAGGGGTTAAATGAACCTTCTTCAGACCACAGAAGAAAATCTCCTCTTCCACCCGGCTGTCATGAAGAATATCCCAGGGCAAGGGATTCTGAGACACATAAGTATACTGTCCCAGAAAGAACTAGTTGGGTATGGCACCTGACTGCCCACTCCCTTGTAGGCCAGGGGGTGCAGAAAGAGGAATCCCCTCCTGCTCTCACTACAAGCTGCCTCCTAGTGGACGTATTGACCTTATCAGGTCCTTTGGACTTTTTTATTCAGCGTTATTAATCCACATTTTTGCCTAGTAGCGCTCAATCTGTTTATTTTATGCCAGGGGGTGTAGAGGTATTCACACTGTACTGTTCCTGTCATTTTAAAAGGTAAAGCTATTTTCAGGCCTTATGCTGGGCTGGCTTTTTCCCCTGCTGACAGGCTGTCCTTCCCCGGCAAACTGTAGAACAGTGGAGGTCCCTCTTTTCGGGTCCCCCCAGCCAGGCTCCACACCAGCAGCACTTCCTCACTCCATCTTCCACCAAACCCCTCTGCTGGCCAGGCTCTGTCATAATTATGAGTTGATCTCCCAGACTGCCAGGCCTCCTGCCTGGAATTGGTCAGACTCCTATAAATATGTAGATCAGCCCCTCTTCACCTCTGCCCACTGGCTTCTAGAAACCTCTCTAAATCTCTACTCAGTGCTCAACCCATGTGTGTTATCCCTCATTGCTCAGTCCACAGTCCATGTGTGTTATACCCTCATTGCTCAGTCCTTAGTCCATGTGTGTTATCTCCTCAGTACTCTGCCCATGTATGTTATCTCCTCAGTGCTTAGTCCTCAGTCTGTGTGTGTTATTCCTCACTGCTCTGACCACAGTCCATGTCTGTTATCCCTCAGTGCTCAATCTTCAGTCCATATGTGTTATCCCTCAGTGCTCAATCCTCAGTCCATGTGTGTTATCCCTCAGTGCTCATTCCTCAACCCATGTGTGTTATCCCCTCATTTCTCAGTCCTTAGTCCATGTGTGTTATCTCCTCATTCCTCAGCCCATGTATGTTATCCCCTCAGTGTTCTGTCCTCAGCCCATGTATGTTATCCCCTCAGTGTTCAGTTCTCAGCCCATGTATGTTGTCCCCTCAGTGTTCAGTCCTCAGCCCATGTATGTTGTCCCCTCAGTGTTCAGTTCTCAGCCCATGTATGTTGTCCCCTCAGTGTTCAGTCCTCAGACCATGTATGTTGTCCCCTCAGTGTTCAGTCCTCAGCCCATGTATGTTGTCCCCTCAGTGTTCAGTCCTCAGACTATATGTGTTATCCCTCATTTCTCAGCCCATGTGTGTTATCTCCTCAGTGCTCAGTCCTCAGCCAGTGTATGTTATCCTCTCAGTGTTCAGTCCTCAGCCCATG